TCAATCCTTAGGGTGGGTGGGGAGTACTCATAGCCGTGCATGCCGTAGTCGTTGGACCGTTGACATCGCATCCCTACAAAAGCCGGGATGGAGTTTCACCGGACCAGGCTGCTGTATGGCACATCACCAAAGCGCAAAGCGCCGTGAGGTATTCGGCGACGCGCATGGGGGGGTGCGCTGCATCTTGCTACGGGTGTTCGGCGTCTTGTGGTGTTCGCGGGGGGGGGCGGGGGGGGGTGCAAGGTGCATCGGCCATTCACTGTGATTGGGGCGATGGCAAGGCTTCCCCGTGTTTCTTCTATATGCTAAGAGGAAGGGTGTCGGTGTGCAGTAGTGGTCCTGGTCCCTGTACAAGGCCGCAAGAACAAGGCCCCGTCGCCCTACATAGGGGCATGTGAAATCGCGCGCGACATGGATGGAATGTTCAGCCTGCGTCATAGAAGTACTCGAAATCGTGCCGCGCGCCCGGTCGTTCAGCCGACACACTCCCTTGGCACTACATAGGCGGTCCTTTAACAGGAAACCGCTGTCTAGTGCGTCATTGGCGGTGACGAACAAACGGAGTGTGTCAAAACTGAGGAGGGGAAACGGCTCCAAGCGCCCTTCGCGCGGCAAGTGAGCAAAGACACACCGCATCGTACATCCGCAAACTGCAAACACTAAGCGTACAGGAGGTCAGTGACGCGGACATAAAAAACTGAGTACCCAACGCGCAATATATATGGTTCTGGGCGCTTAAAACTGCGGCGATGCCGGCCACTAGAGGGCTCGCCCGCCGCAGATCCGATTTCTGATGCGAGCTTTCGCGGCCCAAGCTCAGCGCGTTTGTACCACATACCTCGGCATCCCCGACCACATGACGTGTCCGGAGTCGTCCTCGTCCTCGTTGCCCCAGCACACGGAGCCCCCTTCCTCCCTACCCTCGGAGGTGGAGGTAACCTCCACGAGGACGTCAATGGGCCAGCGGGACGAGTTGTGCACCACCAGGGACACCGGCAGGAACGAGTCCACCGTCGTCTGTGCCTGAAAAAAAAATTACGACGACACACATGTTATGACAATCAACAGACGCTACAACAGTGTTGTTGGAAAAATGAAAGATCGATGGCCCACATGTGTCTCGAGAACAAACAAAAGGAAGCACACCCAACCAGCATACCCTACTGGTTGTGGAGTGTGTCTAGCGCGAAAAAAAGTGGGGTTTGTACAGGAGTACTTTGGCGTTTCGGGCGTCGGGCGGGGCTTCGAACTTCGGTCCTCCCTTAGGGGCCTTGATTGTAACCCGCTACATGGCTTATGCTGACGAATTTTAACTGGTCAGCAGGTTAAAACGCGGCAGGTACCCACAACGACCCGGTGCACCGAGACGTTAGGGTCTCCTCTCTACCACACGACGTTTACCCTGGCTACGTTCTCGAAAGCGCTTGCTGCCTTTCTTGTCCGGGACACGGTTTCGAACTCTATCTACTATGCTCGCTCTCGATTATGTCGTTCCAAAATTACCCTTGTCGGCTTTGACAGCCTTTTGGCTGTGCAGCGTTCGAGTTTATTTTTTCATGTCGATGTCAAACCTGTGTGCCTTCGCCCGTACTACTCTTACGGTAGTGCGGTTTGCTCTTTGGGGGTCTACTTAGCTCATTTCGGACGTTTCGTCTTCCCCATCTCTCACCACGCGGCTGCCCGAGTCAAAACCACTCCACACCCCGCACCACGCCACGATGTGCACCCAACACACTCACCGCCCACGCGCCCTCCACATCACGGATCCCCCCCCCCTCCACCTGAACGCGCCCGGCCTCGTCGATTCCGACCCTGGGAGCCCCCTCTCCCGCGCCGAAGAGCCCTTTCGCGCCCGCCGCCGACCACCCGACACCACCACCTCCACCGGCGACACTAGGGACGAAGGCGCACGGCAGACAGCTCAGCCTGACCGGCGGCAGCAAGACTCCGAGAAGGCACTCGGGCACCGCCTCGGGGTGCCGTGGCTGCGACGGCCTCGATACCCCCGCCCCTCCTCCTCCGGCGGAGCCGCCGCCTCCCCCCGCAGAGCTGCTGCGATGACAACTCCCGTCTTCGCCTACCTGGTCCAAGGCGATCCTGACACACCCCCGACGGCCCGACCGCCAACCTTCCTCTCCCCCCCCCGCCGACGCCGTCCCTTCTCCTGTAAACGGGTCAGGGACAACGCCGCCTCCGGAGGCGGTCCCTAACGAGGCGGCCGCGAGGGCCTCCTCTCGGGCCGTGGACCACCGCAGCGACAGCTCCTCGAGGATGTGACTGGCGAGGGACTTCTCCCAGTCGAACAGCGGCCGGAGCGACAGCGGGGAACGGGGCTCGTCCCCGTCCCGTCCCGAGCTCTTTGCGACGGCGGCAGCGGAGCGGGACAACAGGGGGAAAGGCAGAGTGGTGTTAGATCGGTCTGGATGGCGGCGTAGGGGAGGGGACGTACTCATGTTTTGAATGCCTGTAGCGGTTAGACCATTGACCACGTAGTGACCGTGGGTGGGTGGGTGGGGACTCATGTAAACGCATGCCGAATCGTCGGTAGACCACAGACGTCGCGTTTCTACAATGCCGGGGACGTTGGTGGTATGCAGAGGACGATCCGACCCCCTTCCCGAGACTCCACCGCACCATCGATCATATATAGACAAAAAAACCCGAAGAGCGTGTGAAATAGATCCAGATCGCACGCGATCATCAGATGAGATCAACCAAACACTCCCGCATGGCAAACGCCTCTCTCTCTCTCTCTCTCTCTCTCCCACCCCATGGACAAAGACCAACTTTTCCACATCCAATCGCTCGAAAGCAAACAACAACAACAACAACAACAACAACAACCATTCACGGGCGTATTTCCCTCTCGTCGCGAGGACACGATCGCCAAACAACCACTCACCCTTCCCTCCGGCCTCACTCTCAGCCGGGGAACCCTCAGAGACAAGCACCTCCGCGACCCCCTCGGGATCTCCACTACCTGCCCCCTCCCCAGTCCCCCCCCATCCTCGGGGCCCCCAATCGTCCCGGCCGTGAGCTGCCGCCGATGACGTCCTTGTTGTTGTTGTTTGGCGCGGTGGGAGCGCCACGGGAAGACCGGGAAGGCGCTGTCGTTGGCGAGCTCGAGGACCAGCAGGCACTCGGTGGAGTCCGCGTCGCCGTCGAAGCTCAGGCCGCCGCCGAGGAATTGTGCTACCTGATAGTCGTGGTTGTGGTCGTAGTTGTGTTATGAGGAGTGTTGGTGCTTGTGGAATGGGCTGGGGTCGTGGTTATTGTCGTGGTCGCGTTGGCTATTCGGGAGTGTTGGAACAGCCACTGCTGCATGCGTTACGGGCTGGATGCTCGTGGTTGGTGGTTATTGCGGTGTTGCGTTGGTTGTTAATCACGAGTGTTGGAACAGTCGCTTGCTGCTTGTGTTATGGGCTGGGTGCTCGTGGTGATGATTCATCCCTTGACGCTGGCCGCCGCCATCGCTGTCGTGGTTATTGTTGTTGTTGTTGTTGTTGATGTTGTCAGGAGTGTTGGGAAGCCACCTGTACTGCGGGCTGGCTGCTCGTGGTGACCATCCATTCAATGTCAGTGCAGCTGAGTTGGTTGTGATCAGGAGCGTTCGAAATCCACTGCTGCTCGTGGTAGGGCTGGGTACGACCGCGAGCGGTCATGGTTGATTCAATGTCACTGCCAGTCCCTATCGCCCCTCCTTTGAGTCTAATTTACCGAGAGTGGGTGAGATGATGGCACCCCGAAAGAGACGTGTGCATCCAGAAAATACACAGCGCCTTCACAACGCTTGTGCCTCGTAGTGGGGGTGCAGGGTACGCGGCAAGCAATTGGGTGCGACGTTCGTTGGCGTTCAAAAGTGCAAAAATACGCAAGCGTAACAGAGGGAGGCTCTTCAGCAACAATGAGAATTCGTCCGGGCGACTATTGAATCATCGGGGGGGGGGGCGGTGTACTCATAGTCGTGCATGCCGTAGTCATTAGACCATTGACCTCGCATCCCTACAAAGCCGGGACGGAGCACGCCGGGTTCTCACCGGACCAGGCTCTCACATCACCAAGCGCGAAGCGCCGTGAGGTATTCGGCGAGTCGCATGAAGGGTGAGCTGCATCCTGCTAAGGGTGTTCGGCATCTTGTGCTTACTTCCTTGCGTACGGATGACAGCTGCGTATGACTAAATTTATTTTCTGGTGCTTTCACTTCCAGAGACAGTTGTAAGCACTGTGTAACTGCCTCGAGGATGCTTGACCATTTTAACACAACGTGGTGCAATCATCCCCCGTTGCGCGGAATGAGGGTTCTCCCCCCCGCACAACATGATCTACTCGACCACCATTATGGTTACCGCCCAAAAAAAACAGAAAAAAAAAAAAAACGGGAACCTGGTTGCCGAGTTCACGAAGTGAATTGGCTTGTTATACAACGTCGTTGCCAAGCGACGAAAACCCAATCCCGATGGCAAACACCGAGTGGGGGGCTTGTTTTACAACGTCGT